AAAGTGGGTACGTTCCCCACCACCAAATGCTGCCCAAAACTGACAGCGGTCGCTGTTGGGCAGGCGGCCTCCGGCCTCCAATGGATACCGACCGCGGCCCCGTCAACAACGAACCCTGTTCAGAATGCACACGACCTGCTGTTGGACCCTGCACCCACTGTCTCCGCACCCACTTCCATCGTGCCGACTCGTGGTGTGCGTGCTCATCGTGCTCGTTCCCCGACCTTCTCCCGATCATCGAGGAGCAACAACAGCATGAACATCAACTTTTGGAGGAGGAGGGGGAGGAGGGGGAGGAGGGGGAGGGGGGGAGGGGGAGGAGGGGGAGGGGGAGGAGGAGGGGGAGGGTGAGGAGGAGGAGGAGGAGGAGGAGGAGGGTCTCCTGGATCGGATGTGGACCCCCCCGTTCCCCGCTCCGCACGCCAGGGCGGCGCCGGAGGCGTCGCCGGGGGGGCGGCCCCACGCCGATGCAAGAAATTCGCGCGGACCACCGAAAGTTTTTTTGTTCAGAGTAGAAACTCGCCCACAAGAAACCTGCGACAAGAACCCCAACCCTGAGACCCCCAGGAGGTCCATTGCTTTTTTGGTGTGGGGCGGTCCCGCTTTCCATTACAGAAAGCATCGAAACCCAGGGCACCCTGGAGGCAGGCAGTATGTTTCGAAGCATGGATGTCCACTGTATGCGAACTGTTCCTCTTCGATGCACCTTAGTGGGCCCTGGTAACGACAGGGCCGTTTTTGTTACCGGTTCCGTTTTGCCGTTTTGTTGCCGGTTCCGACGCCGTTGTTTTACCGGTTCCGTCGCCGTTGTTTGACCAGTTCCGGCTCCGGTTCCAATCCTGGAACCGTTTTTTTGCCGTTTCCGGTCGCCGTTCTTTTGCCGTTTCCATGTTCGAGGGTCATTTTTCAGAAAACGGTTAAAAAACGGCCCTGCCGTTGCCGTTTCCGGGGCCCACAAAGCCCCCGCCATCCTCTACCGCTCCGTCCCAAATGGCGAGTGCGAGGCCGAGGGGCGCTCCCAGACCCCCGACGTCATGCTTCTCTTTGCTTCAACACTGTGCCGCCTCCCAGACGTCTCGACCCCTTCCTGTCTGTTGTGCCGTTGGCCGCCGTTGTCGGCGGAGGAGGAGTAGGAGTAGTAGGAGGAGTAGGAGTAGGAGTAGGAGGGGGAGGAGGGGGAGGAGGAGGAGGAGGAGGAGGAGGAGGGGGAGGAGGAGGAGGAGGAGGAGGAGAAGGAGGAGGAGGAGGAGGAGTAGTTCTGTCGCTGTGGTTGCTTTCTGCTGCGCTCTTGTGTGATTCTCCGCCACCGTGCCCGCGCGCTGCCTGCTGGCGCCCTCGGGCGCCGCCCGGTCGTCTCGCGCGGGCCCCTGGGACGACCCCGCCGCCCAGAAGGGTCCCCGCAAACGGGCCAGCCGAAAGGCCGCTCCAAGACGCCCAAGAAGGCCCCCCGACGGCACAAGAGGGCTCCGAGACGCCCTGAGAGCAATCGTGGATTTTGCGGAGGTGTCTGAAGGTTTTCAGCGTGCTCGCCTTTTCGGCTTCCCGAAACTCCCAGACGGCCATCGGGGCCTCCAAGATCGCCCCAAGACGGCCCAAGAAACCTCCATGAGGGTACCAAAACGGCCAAAGACTGTCCAAGAGGCCCCAAAGACGGGTCCAAGAGGGGGCCCAGATGGATAACCCGAACGGACATTTGGAGCCTTCGGGTCCGAGGGGCCCCCAGGAGGCCCCAAGAGGCTCCCAAGGCACCCGAGAGCGTTCCGAAGAGACCCCGAGAAGCATCCCTGAGAACTCTGACCCACAACCCAGGCACGGTGGCAGGATGGACCGAAAGCCACTCGATCCGCCGCCGCCTGCTGACTTGTCACAAAGGTGCCTGGCGTGCTAGACCCTACCGTTCTTGGTTTTGGCTATCTTCAAAAAGAGCCCCCCCTGGGGATTCGGCCCAACGCGCCAGCCACCTGGAAGGCTGCACAATCCGCCGAACAAAAATGCCCAACCGCCTCCGAGACAGCCAAGATGGCCCAAGATGGCTTCCAAGTTCCCCCAAGATGGTCCAAGATGGCCCGAGAGGGTCCAAGATGCCCCCAAGTCTGCCCAAGAAGCCGCCAAGGCGGTCCAAGCTGGCCTCACGATGGCCCAAGAAGCCCCGAAGAGGACTACAAGACGGCCCAAGAGGCCCCCAAGGGGGCCTCCAGAAAGGCCCGAAGAGGCCAACAGCATTGCTTTTTTTCTGAATTTTCCGAAGGGAGTTTAGCATGTGTTTCTTGTCTGCCTTCCGACGGCCCGAGACGACCCAAAAGCCTCCAACGATCGCCCCAAGATCGTCAACGAGGCCTCCAAGATGGCCCCAGAACGGCGCGAGAGGCCCCCCAGGACGACCCGGAGGTGGGCCGCAAGACAGCCCAAGAGGCCTCCAAGGCGTCCAAGTCGGCCCAGAGAGGGCTTCGGACGGCGTCAGACGGGCCAGGAACGCCTCGAGACGGGCAAAGACGCCCCCGTGAAGCTCCCCCAAAGGCCCCCAAGAGGCCCAGGGAAGCCCCAAAAATGCCCAGGAGAGGCTCACAGGAAGCTCCCGGGAGGCCCCAAGAGTGCCCCCAGAGGCTCCCAAGATGCCCCCTCCTCCTCCTCCTCCTCCTCCGCCTCCTCCTCCTCCTCCTCCTCGTCCTCCTCCTCCTGCGCCTCCGCCTCCGCCTCCGCCTCCGCCTCCGCCTCCCCCTCCGCCTCCTCCTCCGCTTCCTCCGCCTCCTCCTCCTCCTCCTCCTCCTCCTCCTCCTCCTGATCTTCCCTGCCATCCCTCCCCAAGTGTTCCCCGAAGGGTTTCCACGACGCCTGGGGGACACATGGTCTGATAGCTTGGAAGAACTCTTGCTACAGCGCTCGGCCACGCGGGCGATGCCAAAAAAAGGCAAGGGGGCGGCGGCGACTCGCCGCAGGCGCCCTCGATTCTTCCGAGTCGCTTTGACGGTCCAGGCGGGGGCCCTCGGCGGCAGCAGAGGAGAACAGAGGCAGACCATTCGCAACAAAAAACGTCTGTCGTGGTCTTGGCTTCACGGCGCCAGGGGGTCTGGGCCTCGGAGGGTCAGCACACGGGCGGCAGAGTCCGAAAGACCCTCGGTGCGCCCCGCCCCGGGCGCCCAGGGTCACGGCGGACGGGCTCACGCCCGTCTTGAGCATGGTGTCCCAGGCCAGCCACGCCTGGCCGATCTCCCTGGCCTGCCCGAGCGCCTCGGGAGGGGGGGCCCCCGAGGGGACACGTCGGAGGCTGCAAAGGCTCAGGGGGGAGAGCCTCGAGCTGGAGTCGGCGACACGTCGCTGGCAGATCGGCGAGAGATGCCCCCGACAGCGAGTCCGCACGGCACGGTCCTGGGCGGGGTGGGCTGCCGGGCCCCCATCGATGATGAGTGGGCGATTGGGGGTCGATGCGTCCCCCCCTGAACCTATCTTGATGTCGGGCCTGTCCCCCTACAGGGGGATTGTCGACGAAAAATTAAAAATACTCCAGAAATACACCAAAAAGGTCAAAACGTATTCAAAACATAGTCCCCAGACTATTGTTTGTATTATTTTGGGGCTATTTCTTTATTTTCATTGAACATCCCCCTGTAGGGGGACAGGCCCGACCTAAACCTATCTCCCCCTAACGGATCCCCTGACTCTGGAGGGGGGGGCTTGATCAATCGACGTCACCAAGACTGACATCGTCGGCAAACACACTGCTGTGGGAAACAACTTCTGGAAGATCTTCGTGCCAACGATTGCAAACTAACAGTCCCGAGTCAGTGGCCATGTAGCCGGATTCGGCCCAAGATTGCGCCATCTTCGGACGGATTAAGGCGGGATTATGTTAGATTGGGCAAGTTTTCGACACGGATATGGCATCGCCGATGCATCGCCGATGCAGAACTCGACCTCCCAGAAGATGCATCCTGAGTGTTGGGGATCACCGAGGTCGCCCACGTCGTTAAAATTCGCGTCGTCGGCGAAAATCACTACTGCAGCCTTCGATCCCCTCTTTACACGAAGCATGCCTCGGGCTGGCCGATCCTCCAGTGCCGAACATGCCCCTGGAGTGCACATGGGCCTCTGGAAACCCACGGATGGCCAACCAGTCAATAGAGTCCGGGGAGGGGAAGGAGGAAGGAAGGGGAGGAGAACGCAGCACCTCGAGCTCGAGGGGAAGATGATCTGCTCGGTCTGAGGGAACGCGGACATGGGATTGAGCAGTGACCGACCTTCCCCGGGCTCCTGTAGGTCAACTTCGAAATCTTACCAGAACGAGCTCTTACCGAACAAACAAAATAGCGTTCTCATAACACAACAAGCATTAGAACAGTACTGTCTCCACGAGAAATGGCATGTTCCACGAAGATTTTGTACAAACTACAACTGGTTATCATAACATCCGTTGTTGAGGATTTACGCAGGTCAAGACGCTTCGCCACTGTCTGGTGGGAGGACATTCGATTATTGCGAAAAAGACTGGTGACCCTCCTGGACACGCACGGAAGACAATGGAAAACCGCCCCACGCAAAATGGCGACGACTCCGGCAACGTTCCTTCGCGGACCAGTGCTGGAGCCGCGCATACGCCAAATCAACAATCATCCGAAAACCTCCTATTCCCTCTGTCTCCTCCTAGACACCTCTGGAGTCCTCGCAAAACCTACAGAATGGGGAACATGCGGTCCTGCCGGACAACACCCAGAACACATGGGAAAACCTTCCTAAGAACGGACGCGCCTTTCGTGGCCCCACTGGCCACCAAGAAGGCCACGAGTCCAGGAGAGGACGCCGCCCGAGCCGCGACTACAACCGAAATGGCCCTCACTCCAAACTGCACATTCGAAATCTATAGTTGTCCACAGGGCGGCTATTTTATGTCCTTGGAGACAGGCTCCCGCCTTTTGAGTGTTCTCCCGAGACCCCTGGGGATCCCGCCCGCATTCCCTGTGTGCCCTGGTGGACTGGTCCAGGGTTCTCCCGGCATAGAGGTATGTGAAACTGCACAAGCGTTTATCCGAGAGAGGCTCTGACGAAGAGGGGCCAGCACACAGAATACAACAGGATACACCGGACATAAAAACACACCAAGGCAACCAACACAAGGCGGTCTCCAGACTGCGCAAGTCGGTCTCAAGACTGCGCAAGAGGGCCTCCAAACGCTCCACGAGGGACCCAGAAGGGCCTCAACATACGTGCCCTTTCCGGCTTCCGAACTCGCCTCCTGGACAGCCCAACAGGGTTCCAAGACGGCCCAGGGGGACTCCAAGACGGCCTAAAAGGGCTCCGATACGACCCACGATGCCCCCCAAACTGCCAAAAACACCCCAAAGACGGCCCCAAGAAGGGCCCAAGGGGGACATTGAGCCGGTCTTAACAATCTTTTCCCACAGGATTGCCTGACAAGACTCCCGACATGCCCGAAGAGGCCCCACAAGGCCCCCAAGACGCCCCGAGAGGCCCAAGAGACGTCCAAGAAGCTTCCCAAAGGTCCCGGTAAGAAAATACCAATGGCCTCCGAGACAGACCCACACGGCTCCCGAGAGGCCCATGAGAATCTCCAAGATGCGCTTGCACCTCAACCTCGTTCACGCTGCGCTGCTGCACTGGCGCGGTGGCGGGGTTTACCGCAAGCAACTGGCTACTTGTCGCGGTCTCGCCTGTTCAGGCTTCCGACAACCGAAGACGGCCCCAGGTGCCTCCGATCGGCGGCGAGCCTGGGGGGAAGTGAGAAGGGGCGTGCCTTCTCAGAAGGCTCGGCGTCTCCTGGCCTTCTCAAAAGTTGTCTGAGCCTTCCCCGAAGACACCCACCCACACACACACAAGAACGTCTCAGAAGGCGCGAAGGCTTCCGAAAAGCTCCGCCGCCTGATTTGAGCAGGGACCGACCGTCCTGGCATTCGTATAGTCATACCACGAAATTTTCTTAGAACCAAACAAATGTTCTAAGAACAAAAACAAAGTTCTTAGAACATAAGCCCGATGTGTTAAAACAGGGCAGTCCTAGCCAGAAATGTTCTAAGAACATTTCGTGGGAACCACACCAAATATTATAACATTGTTTGGTGGGGCTATAGGCGAGCCAGGACGCTTCGCCACTGCTTGACTGATAAGAAGGCCTTTTCCTTCTCGTTTCCCCCCCCTCGCTCGCCGTCGATCCGAGATCGCCCCGAGACCTCCTCCTGGCCCCCATGCACCTCCCCTCCTGGACCCCCCCCCTACCCGTAGGTCGGGCATGTCCTCCAACAGGTGGATCTTGTGGAAAAAAAGTACATTGCCTCAAAAATAAATTCAAAAATGCCAAACTAGTAAAAGAAATCGTCCCTAGACTATTTGTTGGACTATGTATTTCTCCTGTAGACAGACATGCCCGACTTAATCCCTACCCCATTGACAGGCAAAGGGCTAACGGAGTGCGCGCGCGCGAGGCCCCTGGGCAAACAGCATCCCCCTGCCTCCTCCTCCCCTCGGGCGGAGCTCGATGGGGAGGGGGGGGGGGGGGGCAATAGATTCGAGGTCGACAGGGGGGGGGGGCCAGAACCTGGCCCCTTCCGCGGCCCTGCAAGGCACCGAGCTGACACCCTGGCTCCGAGGGCCGCCGAGAGGCGCGCCTCTGTTGCCACCTCTAGATGGGAAAGTAGTCGCTACGAACATGTTTGGAGTCCACCGGCGATGGAAGGAATCCGCGCGGAGCTCCGAACCTTTTTGCTGTTGCGGTTGTGTCTTACGATTCTTCTTCGTACGCCTTCGTGGCACCCCTCGTGTTTTTATTTCGCCGCCCACGAAACAGCCAGAAATAAGAGATCCAGCAATGCGTGCCAGTAATGGGGGGGCTATCACATACGCGCGATAGACGGACAGGCGAGCACAGCGAGACACGTGCATTGCAAGTCGCGTCGCGTCGTTCCCCCGCCCCTGTGGTTCCCCCCCCCCCCTCCGTTGGCGTCCTCTCCAGATCCTACTCGGCCCATGTCCCTCCCCTCCTCCACTCGCCATCGCTCGGACGTCCATTGCCTTTGTTTTTTTCGGTTTCGTGCGTGGCCTTTTCGCCAAATGATCAAGGATGCTCCTAGATGGTCCTCGCCGAAGGAATAATGCACACGTCCGAACGATGCCAAGTACTCAGCGCGTCGAGGGGGAACCCAGCTGGACGCGAGAGCGCCTCGATGCAACGAGCGACCTGTGGCGCGCGGCCTCGGGGGGGGCCGCGGTCCAGGGGGGCGAGGGCAAATCACCAGCCTGGAACACATCCCTATCCTTATGTTGGGCATCACGATGGCGATCATAAGGATTTCCTCAGTTTCTGAGGGTGTATCCCTAAGATTGTCATCTCCGAGAGAGCGTGATCCAAAGCCGCTTTACCGTGGAAAATTGCCGCCCTTTTCCTCCGGAGCCCGGGGGTCCCCCCCCCCCCCCTCCCGAAAATCCTCCCCCCCTCTGGAACCCCTCCCCCCCCCCCCTTCCCCTTCCCGGCAAAACCCCCCCCCTCCCCTAACCCCCCCCCCCCTCGAACTCGAAAACCGGGGGGGGTCACTACCGGTTCGAACCCCCCCCCCCTCGAAAACCGGAAGGGGGGGTACCGCCCGTTCGAACCCCTCCCCACCTCCCCTCTCACCTCCAGCAAACGACTCCCGGTCCCTACCACCGTCCTCACCACATCCCCCACTGTTGTTCCCAGCGCCACTGTCCTCACCACCACTGTCCCCACTGGTTCTACCACCGCCCCTACTGCCCCCACCAATGCCACCACCACTGTCGCACTGTCCCCCACTGTCCCCGCCACTGTTCCCACCACGGTTCCAGTCTCCCAACTTTCTCCACGACTATCCCCACTGTCCCCACTGTCCCACTGACTCCTCCGCTGTCCCACTGAGCTGTACCACTGTTCCCACCACTGTCCCCACTGTCCCCGCCACTGTCCCCACTGTACCTCTGTCCCATTTTCCCACCGCCGTCTCGCCACCGCCTTCACCACTGTCCCCACCACCACTGTACCCTCCACTGTCCCACTGTTTCCACCACATTCCCACTGTCCCCACACCACTGTCCCCACCACCACCGTCCCCACCACTGTCCCACTGTCCCCACTGTTCCCGCCATTGTCCTCACCATTGTCCCCACCACTACCGTCCCCATCACTGTCCCACTGTCCCCACCGCTGTCCCGTTGTCCCCTCACCACTGTCCCCACCACCACCGTCCCCACCTCTGTCCGCACCACCCCTCGGTTTTCGAGGGGGGGGGGGTCGAACCGGTAAAGACCCCTCCCGGTTTTCGAGTTCAAGGGGGGGGGGGTCGAACCGGTAGTGACCCCCCCCCATTTTCATGATGAACTGGGGGGGGGGGGGGGGTTCGAACCGGTAGTGACCCCCCCGGTTTTCCAGAGGGGGGGGGGGGGTGGGGTTCGAACCGGTAGTGAACCCCCCCGGTTTTCCGCCAGCAGCGGTAGAACACGCTCTTTCTCATCTCCTTTTAGCGTGTCAATCTTCGGGATAGGGATACGTTCGAGGCTGGTGAGCAAACCCAAGCGCGCAAGCCGCTGCTGTCGCGCCGAGAAGGCCATACATAGGGGGCAAACAAACCTACCTCGCTTTTGACCACCCTCGCTTCCAAGAGATACCAAGCGATGCCAAACTACGGCCTGTACTGGTCAGGCCGCTTGACGAGGAGGCGCGTGGTACGACTTGGTTTTGCCTGAAAGCGAAAGCGGGGTAGGTAATTCACGTTCTGAATACAGCGGAGGCCAGTCCACAAGAAGCCTTCCACAAGAAGCCTTCCACAAAAAAAACAACCCTGAGACCGCATGACGTCCATCGACTTTTGGTGTGGGAACGTCACACTCTCTATAGCAGAACCATGGAAACCCAAGAAACCCAGGGCACCCTGGAGGCAACAAGGTTGTTTCTTGGCATGGGCCTCCACTGTGTTTCAACCTCCCTCCAGCGATCGTGTGACCCCAGTGCGCCCGTTCCAAAGGCCACCCCAGTGCCTGCCCCTGAGACAGGGGGAACCCCGGTGGGCCCGTTCCGGAAGTCGCCCCGGCGAAGAGCCCCGCCCACGCGGTGCGCGTGGGGTCGAAGGAGCCATCCCCCCCTTTGTGCCACCGCTCGGACGTCCATCCCCATGCATTGTGTGGCTTCGCGCGTGCTGATCTCACGATGATCCAGGATGCTCCGAGATGGTGCAGCCGGCCGCGCCGAGAAACATGCACACGCCCGCGCGATGCCAGACCTCCGCGCGGGGCCGTCCTTGATCACCGACCCGTACGTTGCCGAGGACACCGCGGGCGCGCCCCCGGGCTTGCTGCCGCCGCCAGCTGCCCCCGCGAGGACGAACGCCTCCATGAAACGGGAGACCTGGCGGCCGGTGGCGGTTGGCCGCGAGGGGTGGCGCTTGGGCATCCTGCAACGAATCGTGATCATACTCTCTTGCTCCTCGGAGGGAGGCAGATCGAGGACCGGGGAGCGGATCGATAGTCGATAGCATCCAGCACGTCTTTGGCCCTCTCTGGGCCTGCGGGTGCCTCTGGGGGCCTCAAGACAGCTTCGGCGCTTGGGAGGGAGGAGGGCCCTCCTCCTCCTCCTCCTCCTCCTCCTCCCATGGCAAGACGGGGCGAGAGAAGAGACGCGGGCGGAAGAGAGAGGAGGAATAGAAAGAAACAGAGAGGAGAAAAAAGAGGAGGGAAGCGAACGGACCATGGGACCCTGGATTGCCCTGGGCCCTGAGACCCAGGCCCGGTAGGCGACAGAGGAGCAACGAGCTCGGAGCTCGCGCCGCGCGGCCACCAGAGCCGTGGGAAGCGACCGCGAAGGAACAGAGCGACGACGACGGGTGCCACTCCTCGGAAGTGCTCGGGCCACGACTCCGACCTCTGGCAGCCGCCCGGAACGACCCGGGCACCCGAGGAGCGCCCTCGGCGAGGCGCAGCTGCTGGCGAGCATCCCGATGCTGGACCGCCGCCGAGATCCCTCGGCAGCGTCCGACGACCTCCAAAATGTCGAACTGTCGAGCCCCGAGCCTGTCGCCCACTCCTGGAGCCTCCTCCTCCTCCTCCTCCTCCTCCTCGTCCTCGTCCTCCTCCGTCCTCGTCCGCCGCCGCATGCCGGGCCTCAAGCCTGTCGTCCACTCCTGAGCCGCCGCCGCCGCCGCCGCCGACGACGACGACGTGGGAGCGGCGGCGGGGGCCCTGCGGAGCTCGTCCGCGCGCACGCACGCCTCCACGCCGGAGGAGAAGAGCACCTCTCCAGCGCGTTTCTCGCCACGGGGGGGGAGGGCACGCCTCTGGCTCGACCGTCGCGCCGCGGGCGCAAAATCGCAGGTGAGGAGGATCCTCCTCCTCACCTCCTCCCTCCTCACCTCCTCCTCCTCCTCCTCCTCCTCCTCCTCCTGCTCCTCCTCCTCTCCTCCTCCTCCTCCCCCTCCCCCTCCTCCTTCCCCTCCCCCTCCCCCTCCCCCTCCCCGTCCCCCTCCTCCTCCTCCTCCCTCTCATCCTCCTCCTCCTCCTCCTCCTCCTCGTCCTCCTCCTCCTCCTCCTCCTCCTCCGCGGACCCAGAGGAGGAGAATAGCAGGTGACGACATCCGAACCCTGCCACCACCGATCATCGATACTCTCCTGAAGCGGTGGGAGGCGAGTAAGGGCTCGGACTTCGCCACGTGCTCGACGCATCTCGAGCCCTGCCCCCGCTGCTCGTCGACCCGCCTTGAAAATCGTGGATCGGCGAGGGTGGGGCTCGGACTTCGCCAGCGGAGCGCACCGCTGCCGCCACCCAACTCTCAAGACCTCGTCTCGTTTCGCGATTGTCGGGGAAGGACAGACCTCCCTTGAGTAAAACGTGGTTTAGTGAAAACGACCTCGGGCCCAAACCTGGCGGGGGCAGGCCTGGAAAATAACGGCCGCGGCGCCCTCTCGAGAACCGAAAACGGACAATTCACTAATCGACGTGTCACTGTTAGGAGGTCTGTCCGCCCCCGAGACTGGGGGCGTGGCCGAGAGAAGCACGCCTCTGGCGCGCGGGCACCCGCAGCTGAGGGGGGCACCGTGGGGGGGGGGGGGGGACTGGCTCAGGGGGAAACATCGGGCCTAATACGGCGACGCATCGCCGATAGAGCCGCTCGAGGCACTCGATCGCAAATCCGCGCGGTCCCTGGGGGTTGGGCTATCGGGCCCCTTGCGATTGGGGGTCGATGCGCCTTCCCTGAGCCTGCCCCTGCCTTGACGTTGCCCCTGACGTCCTCGACACCCTGTGGCTTTCGGCTCCTAACTCGTGTCTCTGGCGGCCGCTCGGGAGGATCCGGACACTCGTGGCACGCTCTTGGAGAAGTGCAGCCGCCGGAAGGCACCCCGAGGCTGGGAAACCGCCGAGAACCGACGAAACCGATCGAAAACCTCGAACCTCGAAACTTCGCCCCCCTGGAGTCTATCCCCTCCCAACGATATCCCTGAACGCCCACCTCCCCGAGCCGCTCTTCCGTACTGCCGCGCGGCTCGCCTCCCCCAGACTAAGGCCAGGCCAGTCCGCCCCTCCTCCTCCTCCTCCTCCTCCTCCTCCTCCTCCTCCTCCTCCTCCTCCCCCTCCTCCTCCTCCTCCTCCTCCTCTCCTCCTCATTCTCCTCCTCCAGGAGGAGTCCTCCAGGAGGAGGGAGGAGGAGTCCTCCTCCTCCTCCTCCTCTCCCCCTCCTCCTCCTCCTCCTCCTCCTCCTCCTTCTCCTCCTCCTTCTCCTCCTCCTGCTCCTCCTCCTCCTCCTCCTTCTCCTCCTCCTCCTCCTCCTCCTCCTCCTCAGTAAGAGTCCTTTCTGATGCTCCTGGTTTCTTTGCACTCCCAGGCGACCCACACGGGTGGGCGAGCAAGCAATCAAGTGTACAGAGGCAAGGCGAGGCGAGGCGCGCGTCGGTCTGGAGACCTGCCCTGGAAAGAGCTGCGCGGGCGAGCCGGAGCCCAGAAAAGGTTTTCCAAGTCGATACTCGAGACGTTTCTGCGTGTACGGTGCACGCAAGCACCCTCTGCCGGTGACCACAGTTCGCTGTCCGTGACAACATTCGCTGTCCGCGATGTCCGTTACCACATTGGAAGAGGAGGATTGAGCAGGGCTGGGGGGTCAGGTCTGCAGACCACCCCAAACGGACGTCAAGGGGCGCAACCAACCTGTTCGGTCAAGCTAAGATTGATGCACCACACCTGGCGTCAAGCCAAAACCTCGAACATAAACGAATGGTTGGATACTGCACATCTTCGTCGGCTTGACCGGCGAGGCGCTTGACCACCTTTGACGTCTATTTTCTGGTGGCCCTGCAGAGGAAGGCGCTAAGGAGGATGAGGAATTTCAGATTCAGCCTCGTCCTCTTCGCCCTCCCCCCCTGCCCTCGCCTTCATCTGATGGGCCGATTTTCCACCACACTACCATAGGTAGGAGAGGGAGGAGTAGTAGGATGAGGAGGAGGAGGAGGAGGAGGCGGAGGAGGAGTCTGGAGGAGTCAGGAGGAGGAGGAGGAGAAGGAGGAGGAGGAGGAGCTCCCCATCCCCCATTCTCCCCCGTCCTACCTATGATAGTGGTGGTGGAAAAGCGGCCCATCATTCGTCGCCCGCCCCCTTCCCGCGTCGCCCTTCCGCCCCGAGCCGCCCTTCCGCCGTGGCTCGCGCAAGGCCGCTCCGCCCCGCCTCCTCCAGGCACCCCTGGGGGGGCACCTTGGCGGCCCGCCGCGCAGCAGCGCGGGAGTGCGCCGTGCTCTCGAGACGCAGAGTGATGGGAGTTGCCGCGGCCGTGACCGCGGTCGCAGGTGTGGTCCCAATCCCCTTCGCCTCCTCCTCCTCCTCTTCCTCCTCCTCCTCCTGGCCTTCCTCCTGGTCCTCCTCCTGGTCCTCCTCCCACTCCTCCTCCCCCTCTTCCATCCTGACTCCTCCCATCGCTGCCGATCCTCTGACCGAGCTCCGGGCTGGCGCCAACTCCCGCCGCTCGAGCCACGACAGCGCGGCAAGGGTCTGAAGGGGATGCGCCACTTGGCGTCCACGAAGGCCGGACGGGCGGGCAGCTGGCCCGTCCCTGCGCAGCGGACGTCACGGACATGGCCTGGCCTCCCCCCAGTAATCTGGGTTAGGTCGGGCATGTCCTCCTACAGGCGGATGTTATAAGAAAACTGAGACGTAGTCGAGAGGGATCGTCCAAAAGAATCAACACATCGTCCCCCTGACTATGTTTGGACTTGTTTGAACCCTTCACCTGTAGAGGGACGTGCCCGGCTTACACTCAGGGCGACGGGATCCACAGATGTCCCCTGGCCAGGCCCGTGCAGGGCCCAGGAGCGGTGCGCACGCCTCCCTGGCTTGGTCCAGGGAGCCGCATGATGCGCACCCCACTCCCGGGCCCACCTGGGAGGCGGAGGTGGATCCGTGCGCACGGTGCGCCGACCCTCAAGACACCCACCTCGAGAAGCCCAGCCCTGCACCCCGCCGAGGCTTCTTGGTCCAGGGCTGGGCCTCTTGCGCCTCGGCTGCAGGCGAAACCCTGGGAACCCTGACGAAACGAAACCCTGGGACCCCTGACGAAACGCAGGGTTATTCCTCCTGTCGTGGGCCCCCCCTGTAGATCTCGTCGCCCAACCCAGGGCGTCGTCCGTGCGCGGCGCCCCCGCCAGAAGATCACGGGCGGGGAGAGGGGGAGGCAAGAGAGGCCACACCCCGGAGGGGGGGAGAGGAGCAGGAACGGGAGCACGGCACGCATCGTTGGGATGCTTCGGGGGGTCGGAAGGGCGGAAGAGGGGGGAGACGTGGTGAGAGAAGTGCCAGAAGCTGTGGGGGCTGAAGCAGTAGGACGCGAGAACGGTACGTCGGAAGCACGTGCTGACGTGTCTCAGACCACCCAGCCTGTCCGGGCTCCGAGATTCGGGAGAAGAGGGAGAGGGAGACCGAGAGGAGAAAGGGTGGAGGCAGGACGAGGGAGGAGGCAGGACGATGTATGGAGAAGAAGGGAGGAGGGGGGGGAAGGATCAGGACGAGCAAGGGAGAATCATGATGATGATGATGATGATGATGATGATGATGATGAGGAGGAGGAGAAGGAGGAGGAGGAGGAGGAGACCGAGGGCGCCCCTGCCTCGTCCATGGGCTCAGCGAGCTCGTCCAGAAGCGCGAACGCGCGCTCGACGTCGCTCTTCGGGGATGTCTTGGTGAGTGCCTGATTCGTGGATCGGGGGACATAAGGCAGGAGGAGGGAGGGAGGGAGGGATGGAGGAGGGCGAGTAGGAGGAAGGGGGCGGAAGGAGGGATTAGGGCGGAGGCGCAGCAGGGACCAGGAGACAGGAAGTCCGAGGATGAGGAACGAACCACTCTCGAAGACGGGCGATGGGACAACGAATGCGACGCGGCAGTGACCACCAGCTGCAAGCGCAGTGGAGCAGATGATGCCTGTGCGGCAGAGGGGTGCGGGATAAGACACGTATGGCCAGGGAGGCGCGGATGAAAACGGTCCCGCCACTGCCCCCTTCCTGTCATTCCTGTCCCCGCCCTCCTCATCGCCCCCCTCCCCCTTCTCCTCCTCCTCCACCTCCTGCACACCATCATTACCATAGCCCCAGATGTTGTGGGTGAGAGCCAGAGGGTGGGGGGGTGGGCTCGTCGGCAATCTGCGAGGACTGAGAGTGAATGCAAACATGCCCGCTTCAAGCGCCGATTGTTTCAACCCGATGTGCAACGAGCCCGGCGCAGGCGCCCGTCTTGTTTGGTCAATATCGGGGAGGCGTAAGACTCGGGATCGGGGGACTCGGGCTGGCCTGGCAGGGCCATCATGAAAATGACGAGACCCAGTCTGAAATCCCACCAGCCTTCAGGGCGGAGGTGGTTTAGGGAGTCTCCTCTTCTACCCCCTTCCTTCCCCTTTGGGAAGGGGTTTATCACTGTTCCATATTAATCAACACTCCCTCCCCCAGGCGACTGGTAGCCAACCAGGAACAATGAGGGCCCCCCCCGCCAACTATTTTATTGACAAGCCATACAAAACACACTCCGCCTCCAAATTCGGAGCATGCGCAGCCAACCCAAAAGCCTCCCCCCACCATCCCTGTCAAAAAACAATACAGAGTACACTTGGCGGCGGAGGCTGCGGCGGCGGCGGCGGCGGCTGCGGCGGCTGCGGCGGCGGCGGCGGCAGCGGCGGCGGCGGCGGCGGCTGCGGCGGCGGTGGCGGCAGCGGCTGGTGGCGGCAGCGGCTGCGGCGGCAGCGGCTGCGAAAATTTGGCATCGGCGGCTGCGGCGGCGGCGGCGGCGGCGGGCGGCGCGGCGGCGGCGGCGACGGCGGCGGCGGCGGCGGCGGCGGTCAGCGGCGGCGCCACGGCCACGGCCACGGCCACGGCCACGGCCACGGCCACGGCCACGGCCACGCTGCGGCCGCGGATTGGCCCCAAGTAGCTGCCCATCCAAAGACGACTGCTGAATATGCTGAGTCTCGGGCCAGACTCGGGTGCTACGTATGTGTTGGGAGGGCGGGTGGGAGTGAGCGAGACGGCTTGCGGGCGGGGGGAGAGTCTTGACCCCTCGGGGGCCCCAAGACGGCCCCATGGGCCTCCAGGACTGCCAAGATGGCCTCCAAGACGGCCCTGGAGCGCCCCCAGTGGGCGCCCGGACGGCGCAGCAAGGCGCCCAAGACGGCTTCCGACGGCGTCCAAAGGGCCAGGAAGGCCCTAAGACAGCCAAACAAACAGGCTTCCAAGAAGCTCCCAAGAGGCTCAAAGGTCCCCTCAAGCGGCCTCCTCGTGCTACGGCCCCGAGTAAAGAGGGCCCCAAGCCGGCCCCACGGGCCTCGAAGCGAACTCGAGCACCACCGGAAGCGCCCTGGATCGGCGGCCCTGGCCGGAGGCCACTACGAGGGAGAGGCCAGGGTCCTGAGGGAAGTCGAGAGGGGAATGGGGGGGTTGGAGGGCGGGAAGGGAGAGGGCGGGAAGGTGCTCAGGGGCAAGAGAGGGCGGGCGGGGGAGGAGGGGGCCTGAGGAGAGGGGAGGGGCTGGGGGGGAGATGGAAGTGGCCATACGACGTTCGGGGTGCACCGCCATGCTTCGGCCCGAGAGAGCGGTCTCTGGTGTCTTTTGGGTCTGGCGCTCTTCAATCAGATATAGACAGCTGGTGCTTTCGGCTTCACAAAAAGCATCTGCTGCCACGCCATCTCACCGTGGTGTCCGTACGTGGCATTCGAGGTTTTCACCGACCCCAAGACGTACTTGTCGCCGTCCGTGTCCGGGGGCTCCTCGAGACCAAACTCGGCCGAGCCCCACAAGCAAGGCGGCTGCAAGATGTAGCCAGGCTCGTCGAACCGCGGAATGTCCACCCTGCCGGTCCCCCCGTAGACGGGTTCCTTCAGAAAAATGGCAATCCACAGAATCACAAACTTTCGGAGATCCGCGCGGACTTCTTGGATCGGCGCTCGACCCCCCGCCCTGGCGAGCGGGACGCGCCAGCGGCGGCGCCGCCAAGGGGGCTCAGCGCCGGTCGAAGACGTCCGCACGGACCCCCGAAAATGCACACTTGTGCCACTTTTCGGGAGCGGCCGAGAGGGGGGTGTCCAAGCGGGGGGGGTGCAAATCATGACCGGCGGCATGTGCGCGGCCCAGCGGGGGGGCCTGGGACGTAATGAAATAAGTTGAGGCGCCATGAAATTGGGGAACATATCTTGGCCCTCGCCATCATATCCACCTTTCCCTAGTCATCACCCCCCTCTTTTCCGCTCCCGAACTTTGCCTCCCCCGATCCTCGCGGCAGAGCAGCGTGCCGGTGCTGGCGTTGCACACCTTGGTGCCCTTCGGGCACCTGTACATGGAGATCGAGAGGCATGTCGGCGCGTGGCAGTGGAAGTGTGCGGCGACGAGTCGGCCCCCGCCGGCGAAGGTGCCGCTGATGGTGTGGATCCAAGTGCCGTCGCCCTGCCTCGAGCAGCCCGGGACGCCCTCACCGCAGCGGGGCACGTCGTACTCGACGGGGGACCCGATGCCCCACGTGGTCCGCTGGACGTCCTGATGGTACGAGGAGTTGTACTCCTGGAACCAGAAGCGGAACTTCAGCTGGTACTCGAGCGGCCGGTCGCTCCAGGGGATCTCCTGGTCCGCGTCCAGCAGCGAGAACATGTGGTGGCACGCGATCTGGCCCCCGGTGTAGGTCCGCAGGTCGCAGGTGGGGTTTCTCATCTCCAGCAGGTCGCTCCTCGGGCGTGGCTCGCACTTGTTGCCCCAGCCGATGACGCCGGAGCCGGTGTCCTCGGGCTGCGCTGTCCGGACGTACGTCAGCGTGCCGGTTGCGCTGCCGAAGGGCGCTGGCTCGTTGGCGCAGATGCACACTCCAGGGAGCGTGGAGGGGGGCATCAGGGCAATGGAGCTGGGAGCCTTCTCCTTGTGGTATGACAGTTGCGGGCTGCTGCCAATGGCGTTGATGAAATTCAGCTGCGCCTTCGCTGCTGCGGAGAATGTGAAGTACTCTGCCGTTGCACCCTGGAACGGCCGCGTTAACACCACCATGCGCTGTCCACCTACCTGCTGGTTGGAGAGCACAGTCACTGAGGCCTGCAGCTGCTTGCCCGGACTTTGGTCCTGCAATTTGCGCTCGGTCACGCCGCCTTCCCCTTCCACTATGACGGCCCATGGCTCGTCCCCCATCGAGGTTGCATTGAATCCGACGCCGAACCACACCCCAACAGGTCCTGGCAAACACACACTAATATCGATACCGTCACTCCCTAGACCTTCCCCGGGGTATGTTCTGACCAGGAAATCGGAGCGCCTCCAGCCGTGGCGACGAGGGCTCCCCAATGAGCCCAGAGAGGCGGACACGGGAAGGGAGAAGGGGGAAGGGTGGCGGCATCGGTACACCTTTCTCCCATGAGGTCCCGTGATGTTGATCGTGACGAGTTCCGTGTTGGTGTCCATCGACAGGGCCAGCTGCACCAACGACCTGGTGCTGCCGAGCAGCCGCGTGGCGCCGGCTCCGCACGCGGTGCCCTCGGCGGCGCTGTTGAAGAAGACGTGGACGAGCTGAGCGTCGGCCTCGTCGGCTCCTGCGGAGCAGCCGGGCGGCTTCGCACGATCAGACACGGAGCTGAACGTGAAGTTGCCGCCGCCGCCGCCGAGCGCCCTCTGAGCGGCGGCGAAGCACTCGGAGGCCGTCTGGATGACACCCTCGCAGGAGCCGCGGCTCTGCACCCCGTAGCTGCCCGCCACGTCCTTGCGGATGCGCGTCGTCACCGGGCACTCGAGGAGCCCGGAGTACTCGGCGCCGGGCGGGGCCATCGAGCTGCGGGGCAGGGGCCCCGCCACGAACCTCGTCGGGTGGCTGACGTTCATCTCGTCGCGGTTCCACGTGTCGATCTGCATGGGGGTGATCTGGACCTTCGCGAGGAGCAACACGCGGCACGAAGACAAACTTCCAGAGCTCCGCGCGGACTTCTTAGATCGGCGCTGGACCTCCCTCCCTGGCGCGCGGAGCGCGCCAGCGGGATCCAGCGCCGACCCACGAGACCCAGGCAGACCTCCCAACGCTTCTGTTTATGACGCTTTCTGTTTTTGTCGACCTTCGTGGGCGAATCGATCACCTGCGCGAAGCCGGGCGCGTAGCCGTGGAAGCTCTTGCGCACCTCCCCGCCGTTGGCGGCCCCGAATGCCTTGGGGGACTGGGGTGGGGGCGGGTAAAGAGGAGGCAACTCCTGGGAGGCCTTCGTAAGATCCATCAAGGGCTTGAAGCCCAATGAAGGGGCCATTTAGCGGGATCAAGCCGGATTGGAAACAGGGTCAGGTCCGATTGCCAAATTCGGCTGGATTAGTGAGCGAAGTGAAGCGGGATCCGGATGTGGCAAATTTTCGACCAGGGATCTACCAGCGCCGATGCTGAGTGAAATCCATCTCACGGGGAGGGAGGATGGAGTAGAAGAAGAAACCAAGCCACAAACATAACCATTCGGCGCTCCGCGCGGATTTCTTGGATCGGCGCTGGGACCTCCCTTCCTGGCGCGCGGAGCGCGCCAGGGGCGGCGCCGGAAGCGCCGCTTGGGGGGACCCAGCGCGAATCCAAGAAATCCGCGCGGAACGACGACAGTTTATGTTTATATGCCGTCTTTTCCTCTTCGGCGAAGGAGACAGGAGTAGGACGAGCACATGAGGGCTGCTGATAACCTGCCTTGAGAAAAAAACGGGTCTCCCAGAGGAGGCGGGCCCTGGAACCCGGGAGCTCCCCCCCAGGACCAGCGACCAGCCTCTCGTCCTGAAGCGCTTGTGGATCGCCCGTGGGCCCATCGTGTTCTTCATGAAATGAGGCCCAGGGACACGCAAATAAGTAGACACACATCCCAAGAATCACCATATGCTCATATACACACATATATATATACATATATATATACATATATATATATATATATATACATAGTGAATATACACACAGATTATGGGTTTTCTCGTCTTCCCCCCACACACTTCCCATGTTTCCCATATTTCCCTGGGAGTCGTAGATTAACCGTGTCTGTGTTTTTCCCCTCCTGATTCATGGCGGGATGGAGTGGGAGAAGGAGGGAGAGGAAGAGGAGGAGGAGGAGGAGGAGGAGGAGGAGGAGGAAGAGGAGGAGGCGGAGGAGGCGGAGGGACGACGGGGAACATGTGCACTGACGCTGGCACTCCTAGTTCCGCCCCGCGCGGGAGAGGGGGGCGGGCCTGCATGACGGGCAAGCCGCTCCGCGAGGTGCCGAGTTCCCGGGGCACCCAAGACTCCTTCGGGAAGGGGGCGCAAACAATCCACCGCTTTAGCTTAAGGTCGGGCATGTCCTCCTACAGGCGGATGTTGGACGACAAATACTAAATAGCAAGAAACTGCTCAAAAGTAGCCAAGCAGCCCAGACATCCATCGTCTTCATATCATTTATGACTGTTTTTGAGTATTCCTCCTGTGGGGGGGGGCATGCCTGACTTAACATTAGCTGCACCGATCCTGGACCTTGGTGTAACCCCTTTCTGGGCCATAAGAGCATGAACTTTCGGAGGTCCGCGCGGATCTGTCGGATCGGCACTCGACCCCCCCCCCCTCCCTGGCGCGCGGAGCGCGCCAGGGAGGCGGCGCCAGAGGCGCCGTCTGGGGGCCACAACGCCAATGCAAGAGATTCGCGCGGTGCTCCGAAAGCCCATGTGTATGCCGTTTCTGAACAGGGGATTGACTACATAATCGATGTACCCCAAAAGTAGTTCTCTCGTCGGATCCAAGAGAAATGCGCAGAACGTTCGTAGACCTACGCTACATCCCACGGATTCGACAACACAATGAAGTTTAGGATAAATGAGTTCTGTAGTCGATCCCCTTTTCGACCTTTTGTGCTCTTCGACAAGGGTTCATCGGTACAGCTCATGTTTACGATGTCTTGTGTTCGGGGAGACGTAAGACTGGGGTTCGGGGACTCGGGTTGGCCAGACGGGACCATCATGCACATGACGAGGCCCAATCTGAAATTTGACGCGAGCTCCTGCTGCAAGCACCCCACGAAACTTGGACCGTCAAAACCCACGACGCGCTCGCCCAGGAGCGGCGGCACACCCGAGTTCTGGCGCACTCGAGTCTTACGCTTCTCCGATCTTCGACAAGGGCTGACCGGTACTGTGATCGGCGCGCGGGTTGCTGAGAGGCCAGGGAGGTTATCGGTGGATGCCAAGATGGATTCTATCTGGGCTAGCCTAGCTTACAAGTGGATTGCAGATGCCCCAGGTGTCTTGAGGGGGTCAGATAGCTCCGCTAAGTGGGCACCCTTGGCCCGGATCGCAACCCCTCAACCACTTGGGGCACAGGCAGCCCGCTCATGAGTTAGGCTAGGGCTGCTATCACCCACCTTGGCATCTACTGATCACCCCCCTATCCCCATAGCATTATGTCGGGCGTGTCCCCCTACAGGGGAATTTTCGACGAGAAATGAAAAAATACCCCCAACATACCCCAACAGGGTCAAAAAATACTCAAACAATAGTCCCCCGACTATTTTTGGACTATTGTTTGACTATGCTTGGGGGTATTGTTTATTTTTCGTCGAAAATCCCCCTGTAGGGGGACAGGCCCGACTTAACCCTATCCCCATGGCACCCCCCGCGCCGATGCCAGCACAGGTGGAGAGATGGCGCCCAGCCACCGGCTCCTGCCCGCGGGCAGCGCGGTGGCCGCAGGACTGCACGCCCTTCAGCCGCGGGTCGTCGGGCCCCTCCAGCGTCACCCTCTCGAGGGCCGCGTGCTTGCCCACCATGTTGGACTCGAAGTGGTGATTTCGGAGGAGCAGAGAGCAACAGAAACGTAACTAAACTTTCGGAGCTCCGAGCGGTTTCTCGGATCGGCGCCGGGCCCCCTGGCGGCGCCCCCGGCGCCGCCCCTGGCGCACTCCGCGCGCCAGGAAGGGGGCTTCCAGCGCCGATCCAAGATCTTTTCGCGCGGAGATCCGAAAATTCATGTTTCTGCCACTTTCGCTTCCCCGAGATTGTACGCCACCGAAATGGGCACAGGCACGTCGCCTTCAGGCGTGCGTCGGACCTGGTCCAGCTCGAAGCCCACGACCGCCATGCCTTGAGAGCATTTTTGAACGATTTGTGGTGTGACCCCCTATACCGAGACGTATCTCCCCTACCCCGTAACTGCCCTGGTGACGTCACGATTCGCGCCAGCGCCATCTGGGAATGGCTAGGGGTAGCTACTTCTCAGACGGCGCCGGCGCGAATCGTGGCCCCCGTAACGGCCGATGAGACAAACAGGCTCCTTTGCCGTCAAAGCGCTTCACGATGTCGGCGGGCAGGTCCACCGGGTCAAGGCCCTTCCAGAAGACCTGCGAATAGAGCGTCTTGACCGGCGGGCTGTACACGTCGAAGAACTCCACGCCGCGCGGGTAGTCCGCGTACTGCGCAGGGAAGCGCTTCTGAGTGTCACGGCCGCCTGGCGTCTGCGATAAGATGTAGCCGCCGTTCATGTTCGGCTCCTGCGTCGCGCCCCCGTCTGCGCTGCGCAGGAGCGACATCAGCGAGGCACTCGCCGGCAGAACCAACGCCCATGGCCGCATCCCCATCTTCGACCCGTCTGGCGGCACGGCCTCCCGTCTGATCAATTGAAACAACTTGACCAGAAAGGGATACGGGAATGAGCAAAAAACTCGCGCCGCGCTCGGGCCGCAGGAGTGTCGCCGCTCCCTGAAGGTCTGCGAGCGCGCAGAACGAAGGCATGGATGCGCGACAGACCTGCTGGGAGAAGGCTGGAGAGGGACGACGAGCGCGGCGACGGCGGCGACAAGGGCCCTCGCGACCTTCCAACGAACATCCAAGAGTCCTACGACACACAACCCAGGCACGGTGGTGGCATGGGCCGAAAGCTAATAGATGTTGGGACAACTACATCAGATTGCTCGCCGTGGTTCTTTATCAAAAAAGTGCGTCCAACAACATAGCGGAAGAAAACAAACTCATGAGAGACGGGATAATGAGAACACTGAGATGCGTACAAACACACGAGCACTGCTAACTACTCAACCGCGCAACCAAACATCTGCTTGGCTTTAGGGGTCGTGTCGCGAAAGTAACTTTGAAATCGATAATAAACCATCGTGTGATGCATCATGGGGAGAGGACCCGGCCTTGAGAACGATGGAGCACATCACATTGTTCACCTTCACGCCCAACGTGGGCAAGCTGTCCACTATTTGCCACATGCCCCGCCTGGGGAGAAGGGCGGCAATCGGCGTTGGACTATTCTGATCCAACATGAGCTGCACTGGCACGACTAAGCCCGCAGAAACCGAACTGAGCTGGGCGCGAAGAGCGCATCACCTCCGCGTGACGCTTTGACGCTACCCCGTGCCTGCAAACAAACAAGGACATACCATCCCCATCTACTTTATTTTGACCACCGTTGGAAACAAACCAATTCGCTTGCTGCGGGCTCCTGCACATCTGATCTCGTCCCTCGCATTCTGCCGACCATAGCCCCCAACCCCCTCAATCATATCCGCATCTGCAGCGACTATGGTGTACACACGCGTATGTGTATATATATATATATATATACACACTAGAACCTTCGCGCACGCTTCGCGCGCGCTCAAATTTTACTTGTGGGCACTGCCCGGACGCTGAGAGGGGGATTCTTGCCACGAGAACGGCGGGGTCTTCTGCCACCCCATGTTCCGGAAGCGCGCTTCCGGAACATGGGGGGGCCTCTGATCATTCTCATGCGCTCTTGCGCCCTATTCGCTCGCACCATGGACCCTGGACCCCTGCCATCTGTACCTTGCGGGATCGTCGTCGTCGATGTCGGCGGCGCGTGATCCCTTTCGCATGTTCAGGAAAGCCTTGTCCGGAACATGGGGGCGAAGAAAGGCCTCGCGCGGGTAGGGCGGGGCCTCCTCGGCTTGTGTTGGCCTGAAGGCTCCATGGGGGATCGCTCTTTGGGGTCTCTTGGGGCCTGTATTTGTCGTCTCTTGGAGTCTTTTGGAGGCCTCTGGCGGTCTCTTCGGATCTCCTTGGGGACTCTTGAAGGCCTCTGGGGACCTCTTCGGGCCATCTTGGAGCCTCCTGGGGCCCTCTCGGGACGGAAAATTGGATTTTTGAATGTTTGCTCGTCCTCTAGGGCCCCTCTTGCGTCCGCCTTGGAGTCCTCTTGGGCTGTCTTGGGTGTCTCTTGGGCCGTCCGGGGAGCGTCTTTGGGGCCTCTTGGGCCGTCTTGGGGTGTCCTGGCGGGACTCTTGGGCCGTCTTGGAGCGTTGGGAAGGCGAAAGGGCGAGAAGGCCACAAACATGGAAAAAAATGAAAATTATCAATTCTCCCTCCTCGGGGTCCTCTGGGGAGACCTCTTGGAGACTTCTTGGAGCGTCTTGACGGCCGCTTGGGCCGTCTTGGGCTCATCTTGGTCGTTTCGGGGGCCTCTGGGATCGTCTTGGGGGCCTGTGGGGCCCCTCCGGACTCGTCCTGGGGCTCTCTACGCAAGTTCGCGGCACGGCCGGGACTCTCCGGGGGACCTGAAGCCACCATGGCGACCGGGGGGGCACCCGCCCCCGGTACCCCGATAGATATATAATAAGTATACGTGTGTACCTATTGGGGGGTCTCTTGGGGGCCTCTTGGGGCCTCTTGGGGGCCTCTTGGGGCCTCCTTGGGAGCTCCTGGGGCGTCCTGGGAGCCGCTGGGGCCGAAAGCTCGGAATTTGAATTGTGGTTTTCCAAGCGGGATCCCTCTGGGGCTCGTCCTGGGGCTCTCTTGTGCGGTCTTGGGGGCCTCTCGGGCCGTCTAGGGACCCTCTTGGGTCGACTTGGAGCCTTCTTGGCCTCTGGTGCAGTCTTGGGGGCCTCTTGGGCCGTCGTTGACGCTGTGAAAGCAAAAGACGTAAATATGCGAAAAATGCACGTTTCCTTACGGGAATGGAGCAAATTTTGCCTCTTGGGGCCCTCCTGTGGGGCCTCTGGGAGCTTCTTGGGCCGTCTGGGAGGCCTCTTGGGGTGTCTTGGGGGCCATCTTGTGCGTCTCGGAGCGGCCTGTGCGTCTTGGAGCAGCCTGTGGGCGTCTCGGGTCTCTCTTGGAGCGTCTTCGGGCTCTCTTGGCGCTTTCTGGTGGCGTTTTGTGGGCCTCTGGGCCCCCCCAAGGGCCTGCACACAAACACACACACACGCACACTCTACACACAACACACACAACACACAACACACACACACACTAACACAACACACCAACGAAACACACAACACACAACACACACACAAGACATACAACACACACAACACACAACACACACACAACACACACACACAACATACACACACAACAGACAACCAACACACATTCAACACACATTCAACACACGCAACACACACGACACACAACACACACACACAACACACACAACACACGCACACGAACACGCACACGCACACGCACACGTTCACGCACACGCACACGCACACGCACATGCACGCGCAGGCGCAAGCGCAGGCGCAGGCGCAGGCGCAGGCGCAAGCGCAGGCGCAGGCGCAGGCGCAGGCGCAGGCGCAGGCGCAGGCGCAGGCGCAGACGCAGGCACAGGCGCACGCGCACACGCACGCACACACACACATACACACGCACGCACGCACGCACGCACACACGCACACGCACATACACACATACACACGCACACACAACACACACCACACACAACACCCTCAACACCCTCAACACACACAACACACAGCACGCACAACATACACACACACACACGCACGCGCACACAAGCACGCGCACACACGAACGAGCACGCGCACAAGCACGCGCACGCGCACGCGTACGCGCACGCGCACGCGCGGCACACGCAAACGCACACGCACAATGACACGCACACGCACACGCACACGCACGCGCACACGCACGCCGCACGCAGCACGCACGCGCGCACGCACGCACGCACGCACGCACGCACGCACACACACAGACGCACGCACGCACGCACACACACACATTCACACGCACGCACGCACGCACGCACACACACATACACACGCACACACGCACACACGCACACACGCACACACGCACACACGCACTCACGCACACACGCACACCCGCACACACGCACACATACATTCACGCACACATGCACATAGCCACGCACGCACACACGAACACACGCACACACGCACACACGCATTGATGCATTGACCCACACACACACCCACACACACCCGCACAAACGCACACACACACACATTTGCGGTTGAGGTCGCGGCCCCGGGGGCCGGGGCCCCCGTGCACCGTTACATGTAGACATGTGCACGTACAGCGAGATGATGTGCGTACGTGTGTGTTTGTCTGTCTGTCTGTCTGTCTGTCCGTCCGTCTCTGGTGTTGGTGCAAGTTTGCCTGTGCGTGCGTGTGGGGGATCGCCCTTTCGGTAGTTGCCTCTCTGCTCCTCTCTCTCTCTCTCTCTCCCTCTCTCTCTGTGTTCTTCTCCCTCCCTCTCCCGGGACAAGCAAACAAGCACCAACACGGTGCGAACGCGAGGTGCCAGGTGGCAGTAGCATGGCACCGGCGGCGGCACGCCTGTCGCCAGCCCTCACGCGGTCTGTGAGCAGCTCGTTCACGGTCACCTGCCCGGCGGCACACGCCCAAAAGGCAGGATGCCAACAGCATCGGATCTAGACACATCGAGGAATCTCTCAGGGCCAAAATATCTCGAAGCTGCGTCGGGCGACGCGGCCGCTTCAGACCGCACGCTTTGAGAACGATCTGGAAAACTCTGAAACGATCCGTCCTCATCCCAAACCTGCCTGTCCTTACAGTCGGGGCGTTGACCTAAGGAACGATCAATAAGGAACGAGGTTCCTTTGTCCCATAAGTTAAACTCCAATTGTCCATGGAAAACCTCAGGAAAACCCAAGGAGCACTGCGAAACAACTAAGGAACACGGAGCCACTCCCAAACGAATAGGGTTTCTTATTCAGCGGCCCGGCTGTATGGTGCATCTTTTGGGGACGTTGTCCATCGCGCCACTATCCGCGTCGGGTCCAGGTTGCATCCATAACGCATATTCGCGTTGGATCATCGTCGAATCTGCGTCTCAACCGCGTCGAATCCACGACGAATCCGCGTCGGGCCCGCGGTTGATACGAGAAGATCGCGAGTCATCGGACAAGCAAGGTCCCCCGAATACCTTTCCTCCATGAAACACACTCCCCTGGCGATGATGGTGCCCACGAGATGCTTCAAACAACTCGTTTCAACCTGGAGTCGCACGACGACCAACCTTCAATCGGCGAGCCCGCACGCGACATTTCGGCCTGTGCAGCGTTGATGGTGAAGTATGCTTCTGAGGAGGACGAGCACGAAGAGGAGGGGAAGACTAGGTCCCCCGACTATGCAACGCTCGGCGGCGAGCGAGGGGGGGGAAAAGAGAAGGAGAAGGTCTTCTCGGAAGGCGGCGGGACTTCTCAGAAGCCCTCGCGCCTTCCGAGAAGCTTTCAAAATCTTCGGGGAAGGCTTAGAACAATGCTCAGAAGGCCTCGCGCCTTCTGAGAAGCTTTCAAAATCTTCGGGGAAGGCTTGGAGCAATTCTCAGAAGGCCGGGCGGAACGTCTCGAGACGCCCGTGGGCGGCATGGGGAGCTCCCTGGCCGAGGGGACCGACAGGGAAGGGGCCCCGGGACACACGCAGAAATAGACACAAAATCCCAGGATTCCCTATACGTTCTAATATTTTCCTATATTTTTTAATATTCCCATATATGTTCCCTAGATTTCAAAAATCAGAGGATTCCCTACATGTTCTAATATTTCCTGGGTTCTCGTCTTCCCCCTCCCCTCCCATAATTTGCTTATCTTTTCGTGGGGATCGACGGTTCAGTGTGTCTGTGTGCTCTTTCCCCTCCTGAAACAGGGGGGGGGGAGACCGGCCCAGGGGGAGGCAGCATCGACTGGGAGTCCACGGCGCACCGCCAACAGATCGACGACAGGTCCCCGATGGCGGAGCCCCATGCTCCCAGCCCCGAGGTGGCGATGAAGGGGCGATGCGGGGTCGATGCCCCCCCGGATCCCTGCCCCTGCCTCGAGGCTCCTCAGAACGTGTGCTGCCGCCGACCTATGGTTGTCCGCCGAAGCCCTGCACCATGATGCAGGGGGGGGGCGACACAGGCTGTGTGCTACCGGCGGAGCTGAGCTGGGGAAACACACAGACGCAGACACAGACACAGGCACAGACACAGGCACAGACACAGGCATACACAGACACATACACATACACAAACACAGACACAGACACACACACAGACACACACAGACACCCACAGACACACACATACACACACGCGCACTCAGACACATAAGCAGACACACACAGACACACACAGACACAGACACACAAAGACACGCACACAGACACACACAGTTACACACAGACGCACAGATACACACAGAGACACAACGAGACACACACACACACACAGACTCACAGAAACACACAGAGACACAGAGACACACCGAGACACACAGAGACACAACAAGACACATAGAGACACACAGAGGCACACAGACACGCACACAGACACAAAGAGACACACACAGAGACACACAGAGACACACAAAGACACACAGAGACACACAGAGACACACAAAGACACACAGAGACACACGGACACAACCACACAAAAACATGCGCACACATACACACACACACACACGCACACACGCACACGCACGCACGCACGCACGCACGCACGCTCGCTCGCCCGCCCGTCCACCCGCCGACGCACGCACGCACGCACACGCACGCACACGCACGCACACGCACGCACACGCACGCACACGCACTTACACTTGCCCTTGCGCACACTTACACTCACACTCAAACTTACACTTGCACTACACTTACGCTTACACTTACACATACACTCATACACACCACAGACTACACACACCACACACACCACACACAGAACACACACCCACGCACACACACAAACACACGCACACACAAACACCCACCCACCCCCACACACCCCAACACACCCCGACACCCCCACACGCCCACACGCCCGCACGCCCACACGCACACACGCACACACGCACACACACAACACCCCACACACGCACACACGCACACACCCACACAAGCACGCAAGCACACAAGCCCACAACCACACAGGCACACAAGCACACAAACACGCGCAAATGCACGAAAGCACAAACACACAAACACACAAACGCACAAACACAAACAAAAACACAAACACACACACAAAACACACACACACAAACACACAACGACACACACACACACAAACACACACGCGCGCACACACACACGCGTACACGCACGGCTTCCACACGTCCTCCGGATCATTGACTGATGTTGGATCGACGGGATCGAAGTACACCCTGCAAAACACCTGTTTGTTTTCGGGCCAGCTTTGGGATTTCTGGCGACCGTTCGGGGCGATCTGGACCCCCCCGCAGCCTCTCGGTGAGGCGCAGCCGCTGGAGAGCACCCCGAGGCTTGAAAACCGTTGAGAACCGACGACGACGACCGAAAACCAAGAACCTCGACCCTCGACCCTAGGCGGCCCCAAGGGGCCCCAACGCCGATGCAAGAAATCCGCGCCGGCCTCCTGATATGCATATTCATGCAGGTCTTTTGGCTGTGAATTCATGGGGGGGCGGTAGATGAGGGGGGGGGAAGAAAGGTGCTCTCTTCGGACTCTGAATGGCCCCTTCAGGGGCCCGAAAGGGCTCCTTTTTCTGCAGCCCTCGCTGCCCCCCCCCATCTATCGCCCCCCAATGAATTCGCACCTATAGACAGACGCCTCCTAGATGGGGTGGGTCGGGGGATCGCGCCGCATCGCCGATACATCAGCGATGCATCGTCGACGTGGGTGATGCATGGGCGACGTCGACGTGGAGCGAATCGGGCTCCACATCGAGACGCATCGCCGATGTATCGGCGATGCGGCGCAATCCTCCGGCCCCATCTTCTTTCTTCGAGAACGCCTGGGGCCCGGGGCCTTGTTCGGCGCGAGGCCGTACCCGGCCATCTCGGCGAAGAGGTCCTCCGCGCGGAGGCCTGGCCGCCGGTCCCGCCGGGAGGCCCGCCCGTAGGGGGGGCGGGGGGAGGAGATGGGGATGAGGGGTGGGAGGAGGAGGAGAGGAGGAAGGGAGGAGGAGAGGAGGAGGAGGAGGTGGCGCAGGAGGATTCGGAGGATTCGGAGAAGAGGAGGAGGGGGAGGGAGGGGGAAGGGAGGGGAGGGAGGAGGAGGAGGAGGAGGCGGGAGGAGGAGGCGGAGAGGATGATGAGGAGGAGGAGGAGGGCGAGGAGGAGGAGGAGGAGGAGGAGGAGGAGGAGGAGGAGGAGGAGGAGGAGGAGGGAGGGGGAGGAGGGATGGGGGAGGGGTGGATGAAGAGGAGGAGGCGAATCTAGGATGGTTGACGAATGAACAATCGACGTCGTGGCCGCAGGATTTTAGGGTCCAGGTCTTTTGGTCGCTTCTGGGGTTCCTCGGGCCTCGAGCCTGAACTACAAGCTTCCTTAGCGCTCGCGTCGCCTTCGCAGGTCCGATGCGCATCCAGTATTCATAGAATTTGTGATGCCGACAATCTTAAAGCTCGGAGTGGGTACCCACATGGCATCAGCTTCCAACGGCTACACGAACCTATGGAAACACACGCGCTCAGCAGCAAACGGAACCACATTTGAGCATGAAACCGCAGCCACCGTACTGACATGTCAGTTGCTCCTTCCTACTCCTCCTCCTCCTCTTCGGTCCATTAGTCCTCCCTTATAAAGTACCCCAGTGCGACCCTACCTAGAAGTTGGATCCCCTGGGAAAGCAACATTAGTTGCCATGCTATGTTATGCTATGATATGCCATGCTATGCTGCGCTATGCCATGCTATGCTATGATATGCTATACTATGATATACTATGCTATGCTATGATACGCTATGGTATGCTATGCTACGATATGTCATGTATGCTAAACTATGATATGTCATGCTGCGCTGTGCTATTTTAAGCCATGGTATGCTATGATATGCTATGCCGTGCTGCGCTATGCTATGCTATGCTATGAGATGCTGTGCTGCGCTATGCTGTGCTACGCTCTGCTATGCTATGCTGTGCTCTGCTGCTGAAGCTCGGCGAAGCTAAGATGACGGTGAGCTAAGCTAAGATAAGTCTGAGCTAAGATGAAACTAAGCTAAACTAGTATGAGCTAAGCTAAGCTAAGATGAGATACGCAACGCTTCGCTAAGGGGGCGTCGCTGGGGGAACCACGGGGAAAATGCAGGGGGGAAACGCCCGGGGGCGTGTTGCACTGCCCGGCCCTTGAAGCCCACACAGTAAGAACCCTTCTCGGCAGAGCCCAGGTAGGGAATATGTTTTCCCTGTCGCACCCCGAGGCCAGTTTTTAGGGCGGGCCAGGCCTGAGACTTCTTCACCACTTATGACTCTGAAACTTCAAAAGCGGCAGCAATTTCACAGTGGAACACTCCGAAGCTCTGTTGCTAAGAAACTCCGCGGGACAGTGCGAAGTGGACGACGCGAGCTCGGCGAGGACCTCCTCGCGTGGCAAGTTTCCGCCTTCTGCCTCTGCGCATCCTGTCCTCGGCACTGCTGGCGCCGAGCATGTGCAGAGCAATCATGGCAATGTGAAATGAAATGGTCAGAACTAGTCAGCATTTGCGACTGTGCTCTCCTGCTGAGCGAATCACCGCGAATGACTTCTGCAAAAGCCCAGTCCGGAAGCTGGGCTTCCCTGGCCGCTCCCTCCGGCTAGCTTATAACCGCCGCAGAGATTGCCTGCCCAGAGCTCACGACGGCTCTGGCGGGCGACAACTGCATCTGACGCAGCCTCGTGGGCCTTGATCTTCACAGCGCGCACGCGACGACCCCCGCACTCTCGTCGGAACCAAATCCCGAGAGATAGAACTCTCGGCGCGGCGTTCGCGGGGGCCCGAATTATTAGCCCCGCGGACCGCCGAATCCTTGTCGCCTATGAAAGTGAAGCCCCCTTTCCGTTAGCCGGGCCAAGCGAAAACGCGCCCGCGACTCTGACGTGGGAGCCGTTCGCTTGTGGGTGGGGAGAGGCTCCTTGGCCCATCCCAGGACATTCCCGCTCAGGAGAATGGCCGCCCCCCCCCCCCCCCTCGCCTACATCTCCGAAGCCCAGGGTCGGGCGAATAGGGGGCTCCAGACCCGTCGGAAGGAGACGAAGCTCGCCTCCTGGCAGCGACGGGGGCAGCTCCTCGCGACCTTGGATCTCCAAGCGCAGCGCGTTAAAGGTGCAGGCCAGAGGCATGAAGCCGCGGAGCCAGCCTCACGGCGCATATCGGCGCCACTCGTTCGCCTCGGCCTGGAGACCCCAGCGCAAACCTTCATCTGAGAGCTCGCGAGCACAGCGGCATTCCAAGATCTGCTGGGGAAGCGCTTCTTCAAACTCGTTGCACCTGGGACGCGCGCGCGAACTCCACGCTTCCGCACTGGGCGGGGCGCTGTGGAGCAGGGCCTGGTCGGCCTCCTCGTCAGGCAAGAATTCCCCCACCTCCGAAGGGGGCCCCTCCTCTTCCAAAAAAGGCCCCCTTCGGGGCCACCTAGAGAGTTGAGGGCCTTCGGGGGCCTGGGGAGGCCCTGGGAGGCGGTGGCAACGGCAGCGACGAGGGCAGCCTCGCCCGCAGGCGTAGGCAGAGAGGGAAGGGCCATTCTTGATGCGCCCGCGGCCATCACCGCCAAAACGCCCCGCTGCCGCAATGCACCCGCGGCCGCCATTCTTGGAACGCCCGCTTTCCCGTGCCCCTTCCGACACCTGAGGATATTCAGGTGTCGTTTCAATGCAGTGCAATCAACTCCGCCCTGCGCAGCTTTGCCATGCGCGCGGGAGCTAGCAGCGCGTATCCATATTTCATGATCCAACGCTTGCTCGATCTGAAAGTCCAGCAGGTGCTCCCTATCAAGCTCGTAGCAAGCTCGAGAGTATTAAGAGTCTCTCCCCTGGGGGGGGGTCCTCCAGGCGACCAGCCCT